ACAATTGCATTCGTAGGGGGAGGGTATTTTAATCCGCGCAATACGATAGTTATCCAGTTGACGATTTCAAATTGACCATCCTAGCTTTGTGTATAGCTGAAAGTGAAATTTAGTGTAAACCTAATGTAAAAAAAAGAAATTGAATTAATTCTAAATTCTAAATTGATTTAATTGATTTAAATGATCATTTCATACGTAATTCATACGTAATATACCTCACTTAATATTTGGATGATACACTTTGCAAGTTAATTCTATCATCCTATCTTAGATATGGTCGTTTATCCATAAGTCGGTCATTATCGTGTGATTGAAAGGAATTTAAATCGACAAAATAAAAAAAAGAGGTAATACGTTGTGGGTTCTCATGTTCGCTATGTCCGCGTTTAGTTGTTTTTTGAGAACCTAAGCCAAGATAATAAGAGAAAGGAACTTTTGCGTCCAGAGGGAGTTTTGGAGGTAAAACCACGTCTAAAGGGTAAATAGAGAAAAAAGGATCATAGTCGAGTTCCTCACAGATCGACTTTGTTACTGGGATGTGAAGTCCCAAGTAATTACTATAAGGAGTATTGACTTTTTCGCTAACGGTTTCATTAACGCTAACGTTTTCGCTAACGCTTTCATTAGCGCTAACGTTTTCGCCAACGTTTTCGTTAACGTTAGCGTTTTCGCTAACGTCAAGATCAAAGTCAAGGTCAAAAAAGACTCCTGAATCACGAGAATTGGTTGTATGTTTACTAGGAGGCATTTTGGAGGCTATGAATTTTATCAAGTTTTTTTTTTTTATGTATTTTTTTATATTTTTTTTATAGATTTTTTTATTATCCTTTTTTTTTATTTTTTGTTTTGAGAGGTGTTATTTCTATTGAATTTGGTCATTTTATAGCCACCGTGACAGTTCTAATCTCCGGAAGTTCATCGACTATTCTGTATGTGGCGGTTGAAAGAAAAAGTTTAATATTTTTTTAAATACATATCTGTTTGTTAGTTGTCCTTATAAGTTAGTTTCAATCATATAATGAGTAATTTATACACTACAGTACATTCATTACATTCATTACATTCACTACATTCGTTATCATCCACATTTTTTGAACCGTATCACCATAAACGAACACAGGGGATAAAAATATCGATATACATTTTATCCTTTTTTATGTAACTATTTTATAAAAGATAATGGCGCAATTTATAAATGGAACAGTTGTTTGTTTACCTATTTTTTTTTAGGTAAGAATCTTCTAGGTAGATATATTACTTAGTTTTAGAAGACGATATACAGTACAATCCGAGAACTTTTCTTCTCATACTGCGTATAATTACGTTTAAACGTATTTGAATGTATATGCCTGAGAAAATCTTATACGAAAAAATGGCATGTCAGAAATTTGATGTCAGATCTATAATCGCATTCTTTTCTTAAAGATCACCCTTAAATAGATTATTAAATAGATTAAATAGAATGAATTCTTTGAAATAAACAAAGACTGTATATTATTTAAACCAAAAGAGAGATATAAATAATTGGAAAATCAACCTAATTTGCAATCTAATTTGAAAATCAATTTAAACTACGTACAAAGTTTTCATTCATTAAAGTAATCGTATTTCGTTAGTGTTAATATTAGAGTCTAACAAAGATAGGGTGCTGAAACATTTTCGGAAATCCTTCTGAGAATGTCCCTTAAGCTCTTTCTATGCATTTATGAGTTACCGTTACGTGTCTCCAAAATAATAATGTGACATTCCCGACCTTTTTAAAAATTCGATGTAGTACGGCATAGAGAAATTAAAAAATAAAAAATTAGCAGTGTTATATTGCATGCATACGATGCATGTAAACAGATACGAGTAGATAAGTACGTACGTACGTAATAATGTCGATAAATACTTGAAAGAAGCCATGTTCACAACTTGCTCCTTTTTTTCATCTATCTATAATAGTATCTACGTACGTGCGTATCAGTTCTACGTGCGTACGTACGTACCAAAATTCTCGTGACTTGCTTATGTGGCTAGATCATCTGATTGAACGCCGAAAAAACCTTGTTAAAAATATTATTATTATTATTATTTATTGTGACACGTAATAAAAAATATTTCGATTTTTGCTTTCTCTAATTACCGTTATCGTTATCAATGTGGTAAGAAATCCGGCTTCAATAGCCGTTAGTGACTCCTTCCTTGACTTGATTGCACTTAA